CTGTATGAGAAATTTGGTGTAGAAGGAAACCCGCGACTGCGTTTTGGTTCTATGCAAGACCTGTCTCATGGACATTTGTCATAGAGGACGTTTTAATGCACTGACGGCAAGCAAAGTAGCTCTGGTCATAGTTGGACAGCAGTTTGAAAATGAGATATTGTATTACAAAGTCATGACAACAAATTACAACGTATTAGTGAAGTTCACCGTTCGTACGATGCATTGCAATACCCGATACTTTTCTGTTGTGGTGAGGATGGTTATTCCATTGTCATCTTCCACATTGACCCAAAAACAAAGTTACTTCTTTGAAAAACTATTTCTGCAATGAACTTTTATTCTTACCGCATGCATCATGACCAGACAAACGGAAATCAACCATTTATTATATTGTCAATCTCTCTTCAGTCAATACTTAGTTGATATGTACGCAAAAATTGAGACAGAGTGATTAAATTTTATCAGAAACAACCAGGCGCAACTCTGAGTCGATAGTNAATTTGTTACTACATATTTGTTCGATTATAGAACAATTGCAAACGTTTTAGAAAATTGGTCAGATTGAAAACGTTTGGTTGAATTAGAAGATTCTCACTAATAAGGGGTATGTTTAATGGAATAATTTTATACATTTAGATGGTTATAAATTACATAATAACTATGGTTGTTGAAATAATAAATATAAATGGTGTTATGATGCCCCACACCATCATTCCAATTATAAGCGATGGAGCTTGCCTCTTTAGAGCAATATCCTTTGTTTTGTATGACACTCAAGTGATGGCCAGAGAAGTACGTGCAGAAATAGTGGGTTACGTGATGAGTCACTGGGATGATTTTTCGATAATGTCACATGATAGTGATGGAAATAATTATAGCAGTTCTGTCGAATACTTCAACGATATGTTGCGATTTCATACTTATGGAGGTTTATGCGAGTTAGTAGCAGCAGGGCAAATATTTCTGTTAACTTTCGAAGTTTACTACAATGGCGAGCTGTATGAGAAATTTGGTGTAGAAGGAAACCCGCGACTGCGTTTTGGTTCTATGCAAGACCTGTCTCATGGACATTTGTCATAGAGGACGTTTTAATGCACTGACGGCAAGCAAAGTAGCTCTGGTCATAGTTGGACAGCAGTTTGAAAATGAGATATTGTATTACAAAGTCATGACAACAAATTACAACGTATTAGTGAAGTTCACCGTTCGTACGATGCATTGCAATACCCGATACTTTTCTGTTGTGGTGAGGATGGTTATTCCATTGTCATCTTCCACATTGACCCAAAAACAAAGTTACTTCTTTGAAAAACTATTTCTGCAATGAACTTTTATTCTTACCGCATGCATCATGACCAGACAAACGGAAATCAACCATTTATTATATTGTCAATCTCTCTTCAGTCAATACTTAGTTGATATGTACGCAAAAATTGAGACAGAGTGATTAAATTTTATCAGAAACAACCAGGCGCAACTCTGAGTCGATAGTTACATACATCTCAGAGATGCTATAGGAATACAAGATACTAATGTTGCTCAGCTTGGTCAGATGGTAGTGCTTTTGTCATCTTTCACTGGGTCACCACAATATATGCATGAAAAGACTCAAGATGCCATGACATACGTCCGCTATTATGGTCGTCCTGATTTATTCATTACATTTACATGTAATCCTCGATGGAATGATATTAAAAATGCATTACTATCTGGACAAAAGCCTCATGATTGTCATGATATCATTGCTAGGATATTTCACTTAAAAGTTAAGGCATTAATGACATTTCTAACAAAGGGGAATTTGTTTGGAGACGTGCGTTGTTTTATATATTCTGTCGAATGGCAAAAGTGTGGTTTGCCTCATATACACATTTTGTTGTGGCTACAGCAACGTATTTCTCCAGATAAATTAGATAGTGTTATTTGTGCAGAGATACCAGACCCTGTGAAAGATCCTCTCCTTCACGAAATTATAAAAGGCAATATGATACACGGGCCTTGCGGTAATTTAAATAACAGATCACCCTGTATGAAAGAAGGTAGCTGCACTAAGAAGTTTCCTCGACCTCTCCTTGCCATAGTCTTATGCAAATCCTGCCATGTAGCGTGTTGTCTGCTGACCAATCACTGGCTGTACTTTCAAAAAGCCAATGGCCACTTTCAACCATCTGTTGATGACTATTACAAGTAAAAAAAAACTTTGCTAGGTCTTACTTTCGGGGGAAGCCTTATATTTAGCAATTCAACAAAACCTCTGCTAGGTCTTATTTTCAGAGGATTTCTTATTTTCGGGGAAACACGTTAGTGAAGTATCGAGAGAGGGCTATTTCTATCAAATTGCAAAATCCTCGCGGGCAAAGCCGTGGTTAACAGCTAGTTTAGGAATAGTTTTAGTCCTCTCTTTTGTTCTTTGTTTCTTCTTCCTTCCATAACTTTCCTTTCTAACTCTTTTCCCTTAGGTGGGGTGACCAATTCTTGGAACCACGGAGAACAATGAAAGAAAAAAGGCCCTGGGGCCAGTGAGATAAGGGAAGGACATTTTTTGGCCCAGACCTCGAGGTGGACAGTCATCGAATGTGGTGTTCCAGGTTGCGAAAGGTGACGACTAGAGAATTTGAGAGAGTTTGAGAAGAGAATTGGATGTTTATCATAGTTATGATAAAAAAAAAGGTGTTGTAACTAGTTGCAAGGAGAAAGCTAATGAAGATGACGATGACAGACTTTTCAGAAAAAGATTCGATGTGGTATCCCACCCAAATTGTAAAGTCCAGCAAAACCCCGAGTATTTCACTCGTTACTGTATTCTATTTTCCTAGATTCTCTATTCCCTATCATCATCTTTCTTTCCCTAGTTTTAAGTTAGCACATAGGCATTTTACATTAGTCATAGTTTTTGGTCACCGTTTATACTTGTAGTGAATGGTACATTTTGTAATTGTCTCCCGAAATATTGTTTCACACTGTACGTAATGAATTAATGTTGAGTTGGAATCGAAAAAAACCTGTTCATATACGTGAAATAAAATACTTTGACTATACTGTCACTTAGTTATTGATATGTCTTTTCTTTGCCGATCTACGTACATTTCGCATGAACATCACAGTACATTAAAATATGAAAATAATGAAACAATATGTATAACAATATTTTTATATTTTAGAAAATACAAGGAAAGCAGTGTTTCCACAGCTTCCATGGACAGCATGCCACTGGTACCATGTTTTCCTGTTTCTTTGACTAAAATTTCTGCTTTGTGGTCACTTTTATTAAATTGATTGATGCCATAAAGCAAGATTTGTTGTGAGTCCTGAAGGGGTTTCATAAAAACAACTTTAAAATATGTTTTGAGGATTGGAAAAAATATTGGCACAAGCGTATTGTCGTCGGAGGGGATTACTTCAAAGAGGATGAAAAAATTTTGATAAATTAATTCAAATCTTTCATTTTATTGAACCATTCCTGATATTTTTGATCATAGGTAGGTTTGAACCTTCACAATTTTTGTTAGTTATGTTACATATTTTAAAAAATAATTTTATTATTTTACCGTATCATTAGCATTATTATTACTATTATTATAACTTATGTTTAAAGTTTATAAGATGAGATTAAAAAATCATGACATGAATTCTTATTTAGCAAAAACAAAGACTCTCTAGATTTAACTCTTTTATGTCATTAAATNATTATTTTACCGTATCATTAGCATTATTATTACTATTATTATAACTTATGTTTAAAGTTTATAAGATGAGATTAAAAAATCATGACATGAATTCTTATTTAGCAAAAACAAAGACTCTCTAGATTTAACTCTTTTATGTCATTAAATAAAATTTTTATTTCTTTACATTTTTTTGTAGATATGATGGTATTGTTATAATCAAAGTACAAGAAACATAAGCACATGAGGAAATTGTTCATAACATTAACAATTAAAAAAAAGCTGCTACTGTGCTATCCTATTTTCATATCAGACTTGTCTTTTTTTCATCCATGCACAGTAATGTCTGAAGCTTATTCATTTGTGGTGACATAGTATGTAACCATGAGCAAAATATCTGAAAATAAATGTAAAGGAATAAAAATTTTAACAACATAAAAGAGTTAAATCTACAGAAATTTCTTTGTTTTTCATTTCCTATTTAGTAAAAATCTCTTGTTTATAAGCTTTAAACATGAGGAACAATAACAGTAATAATAATGCTAATGATACTGTAAAATAATAAAATAATTATGTTACACATAAGAAAAAACTAAAATTGCAAAGGCTTGAACCTACATCTCTAACTACAGTGCCTAGTATCTTATCCACTTAGCTATTGCTGTTCTGAGGAGACATGGAACTTCCAAACACTTATAAGCTAAACACTCAATTTTCAGAAGCCTGTTTTTTGGAAAACACTTAAGAAGTGGGTTATATTATTTGGACAAGGAACAGTTTGTGTTTAGTGCTACATGCTTATCAAGTTTTGTCTGAATTGGAGACCTGAATATCTGACCCTCTCCATGTTAGAATAGTATGAATTCTAGAATATTTCATAGTAAATATTCTTAGTATATATATACCTAGTATATTTTTAGTATAGTATGAATTCTACATGTACGTAGTTTTACACTATGTTTATTAGAACTATTGTTAGGTTTATATACTTGTATAAGCTAAAAGTATTGATAATAAATGGTTTTGATGAGTCATTAACATTTGTTATATAAAAATACAAAGCTGAAATAAAAGAACCTTGTAGTAAAAATTATTGCAAAGTTTAAAGATGCAATCTTTGTTTTAAATTTAAGTTAATCTAAGTGATATAGACGAAAAAAAATGTTCTCTGCTATTATATCTTGCAGAAATAAATGAAAATAGCAAAAAAATTAATTTTAACATATTTATTGTATGGTATTTTTTGTTTGCTGGATTTATTAATTATTTTAAACAATATATTTTTTGAATGTTTAAATTTCTTTAAGTAACAAATAAATTTTTTCGCTTTATCAGCCTCCAAAACCAGAAGATTTATATGTAATTTCATATACAAGTGGAACTACAGGTATGAATTTATCAGATATATAAAAATAAAATTTTTGTTTATTTTGGAATAAGTACAGTAGGACATTGATTATCCGAAACAATTAGAGACTGGGATTGTTTGGATAACTGATCATGTACAGTCGACCTCCCTATAAGATATAGATACGTTCCATTCTTTAGGAATCCGATTTCTTATGAATCCTTCCAATCACAACCCGACACGTGTCAAGTTTACGGACTACGGCTGTTTGAAAGATTTTCTTCCATAAAATTAATCGATTCTAGACTAATCCGACTCAACATTTCCAAAATACGTATATATTTTTNAATAATTGTGGCTATTGTATCATTAAAAATTATTTCTTTATTTTGCACAAACAAAATAAATATATTAAAAAATATAAAACAAAAAAAATTATATTTCGGAAGTTAATCTAGTATCAAAAACATTCCGATTCAGCATGACACATATCCTGACACACAATCCTCAGAAAAACACCACACAAAACAAGCAAAACTCTTTCTTTTTCTTTGGTTTGTCTGGAAATGTCAGCCACTTGGGCTATATTCTCCGACGAGCTGAAGTAGTGTTGCCACCTTTTCAAAATCGCTGACCGAGACGGCAGGTGAGGTTTGCTCAAACAGAAGTTCCTGATGCATGCGCAATGTCATTTTGCAATGCGAAGAAGAACATGCAGTGCATGGCGGTTCTAAATCAGTTACAGTTAGGGACTAGGGAGACTTGGGTAGGATTAACATAAGTAATTAAATTAAGAAAAAACAAATACAGATAGATGACCTAGTTCTATTGGATATTGGAGACATGTACGAATACGAATTGATCGTTCAAGAAAAAAGAAAAAAAAAAACAAAAAAACAAAAAGGCAACGAATTGCGCACGATATTCCTGGACAAAATTAATAGACAGTGAGTTATCTGAAAATAAATGTAAAGGAATAAAAATTTTAACAACATAAAAGAGTTAAATCTACAGAAATTTCTTTGTTTTTCATTTCCTATTTAGTAAAAATCTCTTGTTTATAAGCTTTAAACATGAGGAACAATAACAGTAATAATAATGCTAATGATACTGTAAAATAATAAAATAATTATGTTACACATAAGAAAAAACTAAAATTGCAAAGGCTTGAACCTACATCTCTAACTACAGTGCCTAGTATCTTATCCACTTAGCTATTGCTGTTCTGAGGAGACATGGAACTTCCAAACACTTATAAGCTAAACACTCAATTTTCAGAAGCCTGTTTTTTGGAAAACACTTANTTCTTTTGATATTTAAAATATATTACAGTAGAAGTTTATTACTGGCATCTTATAATTCAGAATGTTTGGTAATTCAGCAACTGTGCAACTGCATGAATGTCAGCTATGTTTTGAGCTACTCAATTTTTTTTCCTGTTTTTGTGTTTGAACTAGTAACATGACACAATAAGAGGGAGGTATTTAAGGAGCATTAGGTTGCAAGTGAGGTTTCCCCCTCATGTAAAGTTGCATTTTAAGTTTTAAGTTTTTGTTTTTGGAGAGTTTTATGACTCTGTGTCGTGATTAGTTAGAGGATAAGGACGGAATCCGTATCCATCAAAGGCATCAATTGTGGAACTTTTGATTGAATGTGATAAAACGATTAACCTACTAGCAAGCGACGTCCCCAGAGGAGACTATCCAGAATTTATACAGAAAATTCAAATACAGAAAATTGTTGGAATCAACGATTCCAACAATTTGAATTTTCTATATAGATTCTGGTGTTGAACTTTGTGACAAACTTTTGTGCAGTATATTCAGCATCTGAACTCATATTTGTAATATGGAGAGTTCCAGGTGTGAGCAGGACTGTACCTCAAACTTTTTCTTTGTATAGATACTGGTATATATAAATTTAAAATTAATTATTGTGGGGATGTACTCGATCTTTAGTGTATTCCCTATGCAGGAACAAAACAAAAAAGAAACTTCAAAGAAATAAATCACACACACTATGATTCCAATGCAAGGAACTTAAAATTTATTCTAGTGTATATTCTAGTTCTATAATTATTTATTTCTAGTTTATTCATTCTGATCACTACTCTGTCCCTTTGCTATAACACACACTAAAACAAAGGAAACAACACACAAAAAAATAATTTTGCGACTCTATCGTCTACACATCTTCTCTCTTCTTTCTTTCTTCTGAAAAGTTCTACTTCTTCCGTTGAGCATGTGTGATTCTCCCTCTCTTCTTCCTTGATCCGGGTTTTTTTTTGGTTGTCATCGAGAATGCCCATCCCTTCTTTACCCTGAGGCCCACCCAAGGAGCTGTTTATGCAATAGAACACATGATCTTCAAACCACATATCTCCCCTCCTCCCATTAACTTTTACAACAACAAACAGAAAACTTTTACGCTGTGAGGGCCCATCCCTTCTTTACTTCGTGAACCACCCATGGGGCTGGTTACAAGCTGGTTACACAACAGAACACGTGGTCTTCAGACCACGGTATCCTTATTTTGTTTGTCTTCCATACCATGTGGTGACCACACTACCTCTTCCACACAATACCACATTAAGATTTATTGTGAATTCCACACACCTTTAAAAAATAGTCAATAATCCAGAATTGTCTGATTATAATCTGTAATGGTGGGTCAGGCACTTGGTGGACCTCAAGCACAATATAGTTTTGAGGCCACCTTGTTCTAAATACTAAGTAATGCTAGCAAATCAATTTATAACAATAAAAATTTCAGTAACAAATTGTATAATTTTCCTGGCAAAAAGACTAAAATTGTGTATGGTGCTACATTAGGCCACATCACTTGTCTTGTATGGCACAGCGGCGTTTTCTAAGGTCACACAATAAGCATCAGAATTGATTGTTGTGCCTCTTGGCATTTCAGCACGAAAGATCATGGTAACTGTCTTTTGGGACAGGAAAGAGACAAGAAAGATGTGTTCTGTTGCATAACCAGCTTGTAACCAGCCCCATGGATGATTCATGAAGTAAAGAAGGGATGGGCCCTCATAGTGTAAAAGTTTTCTGTTTGTTGTTAATGGGAGGAGGGGAGATATGTTAGTGGATATAAAATAACAAAGTTTCTTTCCTGTCCCAAAAGACAGTTACCATGATCTTTCATGCTGAAATTGAATAACAGATCATATCTTACAGCCAGCAAGCGACTCAATTTTCTTAAACATTATAAACTTCTACAGTTCAGCACACAGACAGACGATACGGCTGCAAATGGCATCTAAACATGTGCAAGGCATGCTGAAAGCAGATGTTCATGCACACTGCTGCAATTGCACATCATTCTCACTCTCATTCACAAATGGACCTTATTTAAAAAATAGCCCTCGTATAACAATTCTGGTGGCAGGTGGCAAATTTCTTTGAAGTAGAAATTTTAAAAATTTTTGAGTGGTATGACAAATGTTTGAACTAAAATGGAAATTATGTAGAAAAGTAGATAAAAGTGTGTAGAGTATGGGAAAAAATATATTTTAATGATATTTACAGTATTTTTCTTCTTATTAAAAAACGGACCTTATTTTAAAAAATAGCCCTCGTATTTTTAAAACTTTTTACATTTATTAATTATAAAATTGTAAAAAGCTTAATTTTGAGAGTGGAGATGAGTTTTATGGAAAATTGTAAATAGTAATAATTAGTAAAATCCCTTATCTCCCTTCAATCTTCGACCAACAAAATTTAATAGTTTCAATCTCACAATACATAAACCTCCCTACAAAATTTTAAAAATTTTTGACCAAAGGTACAGGAGTTATTAAACTTCAAACCCAGTGAACAAAATTGTATCCCCTAAACACCAACATCCATACATACAGAAAAAATCCTCAACATTTTTTTGCATTTCTTGACATTTCTAGGTACCCTGAGTCCAAAAATGTAAAAATCTTGGGGGGATTATTTTTTTTACTGATTATCATAATTTCAGACAAAAAACTAGCACAAATAAACTGGAACTATATACTAAACACAAAAATTCACACCTAAATGCTAATTCCAGCAGTAATTGAACAAAAATTTTTAACGTTTTTGGCGTCTTTTAGAGGCCTTCCTCAGGAATGTACGAAACACAAAAAAAACAGTTTGTTTTTTTGTGTTTCGTACATTCCTGAGGAAGGCCTCTAAAAGACGCCAAAAACGTTAAAAATTTTTGTTCAATTACTGCTGGAATTAGCATTTAGGTGTGAATTTTTGTGTTTAGTATATAGTTCCAGTTTATTTGTGCTAGTTTTTTGTCTGAAATTATGATAATCAGTCAAAAAAAATAATATGATAAACACAAAAAACAGTGTGCTTTTTGTATTTATCATATTTTCTCTCTGTTATATATAATAGCCAGGAAATGAAATACCGAGCAATTAATTTTAATATTTGATGGTATGATTCTAATAATTTACTAAAATGTAGTGGATTTTACTGTTTCTAATGAGTTCTTTCTGTTGATTCTAATATCTGGTAATCACAATAAACAGTGCTTGTTGTATATAACAAAAACAATAAGGCAATACATATGAATACAGTAGAACCTCCATTATCCGGACCTCCATTATCCGGATTTTCGATTATCCGGATTGTTCAAAATAAACAAAAATTTTACGAATTTGCTGATTTGCACTTGGCGAATTACGATACTGTTTATGTACGTGATGGAGTGCATAACATTTTTTGTTTCAACAACGTCTCACCAGGCACAGTGGCCGTAAACTCTTAAATATATTTTACGTAGTAATAAAAATATAACTTGACATACGTATTTATAAATAATTTATATTCAAATTACATCATTTCTATGACCAAGGGCGGCGTAAGGCATGGACGACGTGGGCCACCGCCTATGCCTCGCGGTCCGAAGGGCCTCGCGCCTCGAAGGTTTATGCATTACTTAAAAGCCGCGAACGCGACGAAAAAATTTTACTCGTCATAAAACGATAAATAGTTTGTCAAATTTTTATTCATAAAAATGCAGTTTCAACTGCTTTTTATTTTATAAAATCCGTCTTCTTGCGCCACCAGAGGGCCTTTTAAACAATAGGTAGTCTGTTAGCGTTGGTCAGTAGTAGTCCAAATTCAATACGAACGTTTGTTTCTTGAAAATTTGATCACGATTTAAATACAGTATTTACTTTTAATATTACCGATATGTCATCGAAAAGAAAACGTGTTGTATTATCATTAAAAGACAAATTAAAGTATTTGTTTCGATTATCCGGATTTTTCCTTATCCGGACTACCTTCATCCCCAATTAGTCCGGATAATCGAGGTTCTACTGTACTTACTTTATAATACTTCCTTTACAAAAAAGTAAAAACACTAAAATTACCAATCACACCAAATGCACACAGTTTGTAGTTTGCAAGAGATCATCTGCACTTATTTGACTGGATAGTAGGTATTGTAAATAAATGCACAAAGAATTTTAAATGTTATTTATTACTTAAGATAAATAATATTTATAATTGAGGCTTTTCAATCAATCTTAACACAGTATATCAATATCATCTTTAGAGTGATTTAAACAGTATGTGTAAATAAATTGAAAGCATACAAAAATGTATACTGGTATAAAATGTATAGCAATGCCTGCAACATTCAGATTACATATAACCAATTGAATTTTTGCAAAAATACAAAATCATTCAGTAATGTGGCAGTACTCTAGTCCCACAGGTGTTGGATAACAAAATTCTTATGCATTTATATAATGGAAAGTTTTTGAGTTAAATTTATGGAAAAAATTGTCACAATATCAGAGTTGTAGCTATGGGGACTATGAGGTAGCTAAAACCCCTCAACTTAATTTGCAGTATATATAATTTATGCTTTTGCTTTTGTTATGTAAACTTAGGCTACTGTTACCTTTTTTACACCTTTAATTTTAATTAATAGGCCCAAGGATGTCCTGATATTACAAGTAGTGATACCAGTATCATGAGTAGTTTTAAAGTATCAATACTGATATCAAGATTGGTACCAATCTTAAAGTGTTGATACCAGCTGGTATTTGGTATTGAAACTGGAAATCTTGCCAGCTGTTGGAGTTCAGTCTGTGGCTTGATTTTGAAATGTTTTGCATAATTGAAACTTTTAATTTTATGTTCTGTTGTGTAACCAGCCCCTTGGATGGGCCACAGAGTAAAGAAGGCGTGGACATTCTCAATGATGACAAAAAATCCCAGATCAAGGAGGGAGAGAGGGATATCATGCATGCTCAACAGAGGAAGTGTCACTGTTTTGAAAAAGAAAAAGAAGAGAAGACATGTAGATGAGAGAGTTGCGAGTTTGTTTTTTTTTTGTGTGTTGCTTTCTTTGTTTTAGTGTCTGTTATAGTGAAAGGACAGAGAAATTATCGGATGGACGAAAATAAACTTTTAAGTTCCTTGCATTGGAGTCATAGAGTGTGTGATTTATTTTTTTGAAGTTTCTTTCTGTTTTTTTCCTGCATGGGAATACGGGATCGAATACTTCCCCACAACATAATTAACTAGAGTAAAGATTGTTATTTATTATTAACAAATTATTAAAATTGATTTCTGATATAAACTAAATGTTACCAATACTGTATCAGTTGATTTGAGATTTCAGTATATTTTCAAGTTTTTCAAATAATTTGTGAGTTATTTAAAAATAGTAATCTGAAAGAATTAATTTTAATTACTATATTTCAGGTTCACCTAAAGGAGTATTGATCACTCATTCTAATATTGTTTCTTGTTTAGCTGCTATAAAAGTTGCTTCAGGGGTATGTACATGTGTGAAATATTGCTAAAATTAGATTTTTAAACAAATCTTTGCATGCAAAATTTTCCGAACATAAATGAACTTTAAAATTATTTAATGAATTTTGTGTTCCAATTATTATTATAAAATAACAAAATGCTTCTTTCACTATTGTAAATTAGAAACTATAGCACCAACAATAAAATTCTTTGAAAATAGTGATTAACAGTATTCCTTGTATGATTAGCCACAAATTCACAATATTGAAAGAAGTATCTTGTTATTTTGGAATTTTAAAAATATCTGTAATTTTATCAATTATCATTCACTTAGATTTTCACAATCAGGGCCATTGAAAGCTAGTTGGGGCCAGAAATAGAAGAGGTTTCTTTTGCTATCTATTTTTAAACAAATGAAATACTGGTACCCAGAATGTTTCTTTAGTAATGAAAAGCAGTCTTAAAGATTATATTTTTATTAGTAACAATAACATTAATTTATAGGGATGGATATAGACCACTACAGGCTTTTAAGTTTTCTCCAGGCCCTGGGAAAAATCTTCAGCTTCCCTTTTTGATAGACTTGTTCACAATGAAAAAATTTATAGATATAATATTGTTTAAAACCCAAGCTAATTGTTTTCAAAGGAACATTGTTTAGAAGAAAGTATTATATTTATTGCAAATTAATTCTACATTTGAAATATTTTTAAATATTGAAATCAAGCATTGACAGATGTAATTGCATTATTATTTTTCAGGCAGCTTATAATGATGGGAAAAAGTTTTTATCTTATCTTCCTGCAGCTCACGTTTATGAAATTGTTAATCAAGTAAGTATTTATTAATCTATTAACAGTTACTGAATTTATTCAGAAAAATATTTTAAATGCATTATACATACAGTGGTGCCAAAAACAGCATTGCCCACAGTTTTCTGTAGCAAACAGACAACAAAAGACTGGCTACAGGATATTTTTTTAGTGCTTTCGTGACTGGAATATCCCTCTACAATGCAATAGCAACACTTTTCTTTCCTGGTGTCATCTGTACCAAACTAGTCTTGATGGTACAAAGCTTTAATATTTCTCATGTGGCTGTCCGCCATGCTTATTTTGTATAATTGTACATAGAATAGGAACTCCTTTCTTCTTCTTTCAAGTAATTCTTCTTCCTTCTGTCTTTAACCCTTTCCTGTCACATGACAGGAACTTTACTGTTAAATACATTCTGGAAGCGAAGACTCGCTCGGGGTCCGGGTGGCATAACTGGCAAGCGCACCGCACGGCAAGCAGAGGTTGCAGGTTCAAGCCCCATCCCGGGCCAGTTCTTTTATTCCAGAAGGTTCTAAACTTTACTGTTGATGGGTCCTGATTGGGACAGTGGACTGTACAAAGGGAAAGGAAGGGGTCCTGCCCAAAGGGGACCTGGGGAAATCAGGAGTGGATGAGAGTCACTTTTAAGGTTCGCCACTGATGAGATAAGTCAGGTGAGAGAGAACAAGAGACAAGCTACAAGGAGTCAGGTCTAGGAAGATAGAAGGAGAGAGAGGGTCAGTATAGACCATGTGTGGACAGTGACTCGGAACTAAGAAAGCAAGTCTTTCTGTATGTGCTCAAGGACCTGCCTTGGTATATATTTAATGGTAACTGCTTGTTAATACGTGCATATCCAATCCGTTGACATCCAGTCAACGGATTGGATATGCACCATCCACGAAGCAACCATAGTTGACATTACCTCAGTTGACTGTTATTTGTATCGTTTTATTGTCACATGTTTCTCATCCTTTTTTCACACTCAAATGTGTCTTGTTTAGCTAGATGTGTTATTTATAGTGAAATGTGGATGATACAGTTGCTGTATGTTACATCGCTGCAAGAAGCTTGTATGATGCAATCATAAACAAATGTCATCTATTTTATTACAGTTAGTGGAATTTTCAGCATCTAACAATTATGGGAGATGCAGTTTTTTCTGGCATCACTGTACTTTTCAAACTACATGTATTAGTCTATTGTATCATCTGTCTAGACAAGAGAAAATAGCTGACAAGTTATAAAAATGGTTATATCATAAAATAATTTTATTTTTTATCATACAATATACAACAGACACTAGAAAATTCATTTTTTGGCATCATTATTATTGGGTTAATGCAAAAGTTTCTGGAATTTTCTAGACCTCTAGAATATTCAAAAATGTTCTCTGACAGATGGCAGCTAGAAGTTTCTTGTGGGGTATGTAAATGAAGAGTGTTGAGTGCACAATCATAAGTGAAAAGATATTTAAAAAGTTAATATTACCGTACAGAATATGTCAAGTTTGTCAATGCTTTCTTGTGACCAAATTTTCATGTGTGCACTTTACAATTATCAATTTGGTATAAAACCATCAATACAGGAGATAAAAATGGTACCTGTATGCAGGTGCAGATCTACATAGGAACTAATAGGGCTTAAGCCCTGGGCCCCCAAGTGTCAAGGGCCCACAAAAATTGAATTATCATCATAAATTTTTAATACTTTTTCATTAACAATGAGTATTTATGAATAAAAAATAGTTAATATTAATAATATAATAATACTGATAATTAATAGTATTATTTGTTTTATTGTAATAAATGTATCGTCAGCTCACCAAGTTGCAATTTTAAATGCACTGTCTCAAATTTGAATGCTATAAGGAGACTAATAATAATGACCAGCCTGCCTTATAAGGCAATGNTATGATCATAAATTTTTAATACTTTTTCATTAACAATGAGCACTTATCGTATAGTAAAAAATAGTTAATAATAATATAATAATACTGATAATTAATAGTATTATTTGTTTTATTGTAATAAATGTATCGTCAGCTCACCAAGTTGCAATTTTAAATGCACTGTCTCAAATTTGAATGCTATAAGGAGACTAATAATAATGACCAGCCTGCCTTATAAGGCAATGTCTATTCTTAATCTAACAAAAAAACCTGTATGTCAAGTTAAGCACAAAATGTTGTGGATGAATGTTGGTCAAGACTGTGCCAAAACTGGAATTAGTGTTCAAAACATCAGTGCAACGTTTGACTGATACTATCCACATTAAGCAGGCACAGATAAACATTATGTGCTTTATCCATGATGATGCAAGACCATCCGTATGTTTCTATAAAAAAGTAAACAACTACAAACCTTTACGGTGCGATATTAAATAAAATTATCAAGAAAAAGTTCCCACAAACGTTTTCGAATCGATTTAAGGTTCTTCATCAGGTGAAAAAACGTAAATACGTAAAAAATCATTCGATGGAATACAAAATTTGAAAGAGATTCGATTAACGAAATTCATGAATCCTGCAGCTGTCATCATCAATAGGCATGCGCATTCTTCCGATGTAAAAGTTTTTTATTTATATAGAATTTTTTCCGTCGTATATAAGCGTTTGCCACGCTAAGGATAGAGACAATTCATCCTTATTGTTAATACACTTGTTGTCATGGGCCGCTTTATATATACAAATTGCTTCAATCCATCTTAGATGCTCGGTATGAGGTGTGGTGTGGATGATTCTGGCTTTGTTAAATCTTGAATGGATGTCTGGATCTGTAGCATAACGAGCCAGTGCTGTAGTTACTCATCCAGCATTATACCCATCGATTCTTCTTCCTCCAACATTTTGTGCCCTCAGGGATCTCTTATTCAGAATAGTGGATGATGCTAACTTCCAGCAACAAGTCTTAGAGATGACACACCTGTTATGCTACAACTCGTTATTTCAATTCAAAGGCACGATGTACAGTACAGTACATGCAATCTAGGGGTGTACCGATGGGGAGCCCTGTTGCAGGGGTCTTATGCAAATTAGTAATACGTCAACTAGAAAAAAGAATCCTCCCTCTCCATTTCTCTAACATCATATTATACAGGAGATATATAGATGATATCCTCATTTTATGGAAGGTCAAGCCAGACGTATTAGCTTTCTTAGAATCGGTTAATGACAACCAATATGGCTTAACTCTGGAGCTGGATCAAGCACACGACACACATGTTCATTTTCTAGATATTAGCATTGATGTGGATGGAGCGATGATCCGCACGAAGGTATACAGAAAACCTATTGCAGAACCGCTATACATACCAATAGGATCGTGTGATCCTTTTCATTATAAAATGGCAGCGTTCAACACATTAATTAAGCGAGCCTATACTCATTCCTCAATGACGGGTGCTCTAGAATCTTAGCTTAGAACCATATCTAATATAGTGAAATGCCATGGATATCACAATCTTATAAATAACTTATCAAGGAAACTACATCATCCACAAGTATCCGCACAAGCTACATTGCAGGGAGAAGAAAGACCAGATCCTAAAGACAGAGTTCCTGTCACTTACAACCTGTGTTTACAAAAGCTGTACTCCGAGATTGCCAAAAAGAAAAACATTAACATTGCATACAGGAGATGTCCTACTGTATTTAATATACTCCGTAATGCTAAGGATGCTCCCAACAATGAGTTGCTAGTATGTAGTCCCATTGAATGTGGGTGTATGTGTCATCCCATTGAATGATCATCGCTGTAATGAAGAATTATTATACATTGGCTCCACTAAGCGCTTGTTAGGTATCAGAGTAAAGGAACACAAGGCTGACATACAGCACAAAAGAGTAACTACTGCACTGGCTCGTTATGCTACGGATCCAGACATCCATCCAAGATTTAACGAAGCCAGGATCATCCACATCACACCTCATACCGAGCATCTAAGATGGATTGAAGCGATTTATATATATAAAGCGGCCCATGACAACAAGTGTATTAACAATAAGGATGAATTGTCTCTATCCTTAGCGTGGCAAACGCTTATATACGACGGAAAAAATTCTATATAAATAAAAAACTTTTACATCGGAAGAATGTGCATGCCTATTGATGATGACAGCTGCAGGATTCATGAATTTCGTTAATCGAATCTCTTTCAAATTTTGTATTCCATCGAATGATTTTTTACGTATTTACGTTTTTTCACCTGATGAAGAACCTTAAATCGATTCGAAAACGTTTGTGGGAACATTTTCTTGATAATTTTTTTATTGCACTGTAAAGGTTTGTAGTTGTTTAATTTTGCTATAACACGGTGTTATGGAGAAGTTTGATTACGTTTCTATATTCAACAGTTGACTCAACGGTGAGAGAACAACGTTTCTAAATGGATCGTTGAGTTCTTTAATTTGAGTTACTTTAATTACTAAAGTGAGTTACTTTAATTATTTAGCAAAACAGATGCAATTACCACCTTCTCGTTACTTAAGTCAGCCATCTTGAAAAGCAACCTCTCAACAAAAGTGTTTCTTTTTTTCTGCAAAACGTGACATCAGATCGTTCAATGGAGGGACTCAACGGAAAATTCACTGTTGAGTCAACCGTTGAATATAGAAACGTACGGCATGTGTCAAGGTCAACCCAGTAGAACTGCTTAATCTTGGTTGGGAGTTCTTCCTCATTCCCTGTATAATTCAGATATTGCACCATCTAGCTATCATCTCTTGTGCTCCATGCAACACTTGAATAGAAGGCAGTTTGCTGATGATGAGATGAAAATTGCACTTGCAGAGTTCTTAAAGTCAAAACAGCCTGAGTTTTATTCAGCAGGAATTCATGACCTCCCAATCAATGGAAAGAGGTAATTGAATGTAATAGCAATTATTTTCTTCAATAAACTATTTTTGTTTTAGAAATGGATGTTGTACTATAAAACTCTAGAAAATTCCAGAAATTTCTGCATTAACCCAATAAATGTCTTTATATGTAATGGTTGACACCAAAAAAACTCTGTATAATTTGAAAACTAGAAACTACAACTAAAAACTTATAGCTAAAGACTTGTATATTTAAAATGATCTCTAAAACAGGTAATATGATGAAGTTTTTAGTTGTAAGTTTTCAATTATAAAAATAATGTGGTCATGCTCTAAAGCAACGGTGGGCAACCCCTGGCCCGCGGGCCAGCTACGGCCCGTGAAAAGTTTCTATCCGGCCCGCGAGATGTTTAGAAGAAATTATAAATAAATATATTTCGATATAATTCGTCTAGTTTAAATTGAATATTATTTTCTGAAGTGTTGCAGCAGCAATGACAGGAAAAAATAAGGGAGTCATTTCCTTATTCAAACAAAAAATGGGAGAACAGAATTTTTCTAAATTATTTATATCTCATCGCATCATCCATCAAGAAAATCTATGTGCAAAAGCTATGCAATTAGAAAATGTAATGTCTGTCGTATCCAACTACATAGTGCTGTTTTTATTGTGTTTAAAGTCACTTAGATTTTACAAATAGGTGAGCCGTTCACAGCCCGGCACACGCATTTGTAAAATCTAAGTGACTCATACAACATGGAATTCATATAAAACGGAATAATCAACAGTGTTATAGGGGGGTCGACTGTAGTAATTAATTTCTTTTTATTTATTTATTTATTTATTTCATATTTGCAGACTAAAAATTTACAGGTCACAAGGTGTCAATTAACTACTATGGCCCGCGGAAAAAACGTAAAATTTATTCTGGCCCATGTTATAAAAAAGGTTGCCCACCCTTGCTCTAAAGAACAGTATATAAATCTTAAGCTCTGTACATCCAGCTATCAATATCTCTATTATCACATGCCTGGCTAAAATATAGTGGGAATGATCGACTTTCACAAATCAGAGGACCTATGATCTATTCCACATTTTTATTTCATGAAAGCTTAATAATCCATTCTAATGAAATTAGCCTGCAAAACAGTTGTATTCCACATTTTTGACAGATATTAGAAATTAATTAAAAAATTGTATTTTAATAATTTATATAGTCTGAATAATTTACATTTGAAATTTAATTAAATCATAATTTAAATATATTGTTCTAGTTAACAATAGTACACAAAGGTGGAAAAATTGGTTTTTATAGTGGTGATATTAAAAATGTATTAGATGACATATTAAGATTCCAACCAACAATGCTGCCTTTAGTACCAAGAATAATGAATCGCTTATATAGTATTGTAAGTATATATTATTAAACTACATTCTTTTATTTTATTAAATATTATTAAAATATAAGTAAAAGTTTTATTAAGTTACTTTATCTCACCAAAAATTACATTTATTTATTAAGGGGCATAGGGGCCAAGCTGGTTTATGAGGTTTTATCTCAAAGAATAATCTGCGACAATATTCTCAGACGGGTTGAGCAGTTCATTGAATGTCAATGTTACCTTTGTTTTAAAAAACTATTAACACGAAAAGACTGTCTGTGTCTTTAGTGTGCTTTTTTATAAATTAATTTAAATGTTTAAATAAAAATATGGAATATATTTAATTTCTGAAATATAACAAATTAATTAACCAAAGATCTAAAATTTAAATTATAACTAAATAATCCAGTTTTTAGATCTTTGGATAATAGACTATTGGACTATGGTTTAAATTTGTTTTTAAAATTAACTGTATAAAAATAATCTTATATATGGATTAGATTAAATTTACAAATAATTCCAAGAAATTTATTTGCTTGTTTTAGATCAGCGATTAATTTAATTAATTAAAATGTAAAATCAAAATATATTTCATTAAGTTTGTATAATATAATTTTTGCATCATTAGTGAAATGTATCAAATATCTTGACTGCATTTGCTAACAATGAATAAATTGAAATTCATGTATAATAACAAAATAAAAAATAAATAAAAGATAATTTATGGTAAATTAATTTTTAATAAAAAATTATATAATTAATTTCTAACACACACAGCTTCTTTTTCATGTGTACTTGGAAATCACCAAGAAAGTAAAAAGCTGTGAGTACATAATTGAGAAAATTGAATCAGATTTATTACTTCAATTCAGAAGCAATTGTGAAAAGTGCAATTGTGCCCAATTGCTACTAAGATGATAATACAACAATATTGAGACAGTATAAATGAAATAACAATAAATTTATTGAGATAACATAATGCACAATAAAAAGAATTCGGATACCAATTCTAGAGCATTCATCCAAAGCTCAAGAACAAAAGGGTCCAGCATGTGGACCTGTGTGACAAAGAAGTTTTTATGTTTACAATCATAAAAAAATAAAGATATGATATTTATTACAAAAATTTACTTTTTAAAACGAACTTAAAACTAACTTATACCTAAAGACATAGAATGGGAATTTAAGATAGAAGAGAATAGAGAAAGGAAAGGGGATACCCGTACTCAGTTGATCCTTTTGTTTCTGAGATGACTATTTTAGTTGATTCCTCAGTGGGATTTCATCCTCCCTTTTGGAAAGATTGTCATATACCTTTTTTTCTGGGGATAACAGAGATTGTCTTCATTGATGATTGTCTTAAGCCTTAGGACTCTGGTGGCATGAAGCCTTCAGAAAACTATTAGGTTCTTCACTACGGTCTGGATTGACCTCTTTCCATCGTCTCCCTCTTGTGTCTGCTCTCCTCTCCCTTCTTCGAAAAACCATTATTTTCCCATTTGTGCCTTCAGGCTTTTACTCTCCCCATGGGACAGTTCAGAATGTCAATCAACAACAGAGTGAAATAGAAATAAAGAGCAGGAGAAAGTTCTAGAAACAGGAAATGATAAGAATTGAGGGCAGAAACTACCATCTAGAATAATCTATAATAACTTAAAATTATGGCTTACAGCCACAGAATATCAGAATTTTTTTAATATGTATATTTTTTAGTTACAATGCAATAAAACAATCTTGTCAGAAGTTTGAAATTTTATTTTCTAGAAAATATTAAGTATTAGTTTAACTCTGTCTTCAGAATGCATTTGATTATTTAAATTCTAGAACAAAGTTAAAAGAACAAACAGTTTTTAAGTAGTCTAAATTCTTAAATAATGTACAGGAATATTATTTCTTTATATTAAAAAAATTTCCAAATAATTCAAACATTAGGCTAAATCTACTTTAATGGAGAAAATTAACTAAAACAGTTTTTAAATGCAGTCTCAAGTACTTTTGAACTTCTGAAGCTCCTCATTAGGCAAAATTGCAAAACTGTCCTTAAAATTTTGGAAGTACATTGATTCAAAACCATTCAAAATCCATCAAATTCTAAAAATATAAAGTATATAAACAGTAGTGATCCATGTAGCTCTCTCTGTTGTGAGATTTTCCTTAAATGAATCATTTTTTTTCCTCTTAAAAATGTGCTAATTATATTTTTTTCTACCCATTTCCATGACTCTGACAAAGAAGCATGAAAATGGGTAGTGAAAAGAGAAATTGAAGAGACTAGTGAATAGAAGATCCTAAGGTTTAAGTAACATTACAACCTAATATATTCAATGATATATTTGAATTTCATTCATAAAATTTTATTTTAAATTAAGGATTCCCACACATTTTAAAAATTAAATATGTATTACAACTTTGAGTTTACTTGCAATGAAATAAAATATAATTTGAAAGATGAAAAATTACAAAATACTATTAAAACTGAAAACAACAAGCATTTAAATTATTTCCAGTTATCATAACTTATTAAAAAGTTTTGAAGACTTGAATACAGTGCATGCATTGGAACATTCATAACCATTTACTTGTTAGTTTATCTGTAATTAGCAGACCCCACCACGTGTTGTTGTGGCTCAAAATGTATCTATTATAAATGTATAACACTTCCCCCGTGGGGGGAAATTTTTCGAAAAATTTCTTCTTAGTGTACATTCTCTTGACGTATCCTATTGAAACGCAATCAAAAATGCAAAAACCTGCATCTAAAATAGTATAATAGAAGCCAAGTTCTTCACGGCAAGCCTTAATCCTGTCCCTCTCCCCCACGGGGGGAATATCGAAAAATCCCTTCTTAGTGTACATTCTGTTGACGTACCCTATTAAAACGCAATAAAAACTGCAAGAAACCACATCTAAAATAGTATAAATAGAAGCAGAGTTCTTTATAGTAAGCCTTAATCCTAACCTTCTCCCTTCAGTGGGGGGAATTTCGACATGTATATTATATAAAAACATGTGCGTATTCGAATGCAGCGTTGTGTCTAAATTTCAAAGGAATCGATAGGAACAAACAACATTACATTTTTATTTATATAGATAGATAGAAGATGATCTGCTTTAGTTCATTTTCACAGAAAAGCATAATGCCTCACAGAAATAAACATCTCCAAACCCAATGTCCAATATAGTAACACATCGAATAGCCCAATTGATTTTCGGCATTCGATGTGTTGCCTCACAGAAAAGCAAGCTTAGGGTGTCGTACTCGTAGCACCATCTGTTTGACATAAAAGCCATAGCCCTAGATTATATCTTTTAATTTATATGAATGTTTACTGGAATAATATACAGCCTATGTCAACCCTGAAGTTCCATTCTAAATATTGGTGAAAGAATTTTTAAAATCGGATGAGTAGTTTCAGAGATTACCCACTACATCCAAACTTACTTACTTACTTACAAACATTACCTCTGTATAATATTAGTATAGATAAAATTATTTGTTTTATCAATGATTGATTTGCACATTTTGCATTTTAATTTAAATACCATTTTCTAACAACATAAATTGTCAAATGTAATCTTATTATTAGTATATTTAAAACATATTATAGTTATCTTGTTTTTGTGATTTTCAGTTACTGATTAAGTTGTAAAATAAAGTAAATATTACATTTATTGGACTTATTTATTCTTACATTAATTTAAAAAAATGCTTGAATACTTTATTTTTATGATCTTAATATGTTTTTATTGTGTAAAATTTTATGACTGAAATAAAAAAGAGTAAATTATTTTATTTTTCATTATTTATTTCTAATATGTTAATTATAAAATATATTTGAGTTTTCATTTTTGAGTTATTTCAATTTGCGGAATATGTTTCATGACATATAGATTAATTTTAATTTAGATTATGGATGACATGAAGAAGAATCCTGTAAAGAGATATTTTTGGAATATTGCATTGAAGAGAAAGGAAAGTTTGCTAAAACGGTAATTGTAATTATTATTTAGTTATTTAATTTATTTACTATATGACTATCTCATTAGAAAAAAGTATTTAATATTATCATAAATGGGTAAACCAAAAAATCTAATATTGACCAAACAGGCATTTTTGCTTGGAATTTCACTTTTAACAATGCCAAAGAGAATTTTTTTGTGCTTAATGAAGCAAAGTGATAATATCATCTTTAGTTTTGATTTTGTTAGTAAATGATGAAAAGTTATGCTGTTAAACAAAGTAAAACAAACAAAAAACACATTTTATTTGTCTTGTATATCAGTCAGAGCCGGCCCTACCATAGGTGAACTTTGCGCCTATTGCTTTAGGCCTAGGACTTTGCACCTGGAGCAGTTGCTCCAGGCGCAAAGTCCTAGGGAGTACCTCAGTGATAAAGAAAATTAAAGGAGAAAATATTTTTTTCACTTTTCATGGGGGGTGCCATAATAGGATCTTACTTCATCTTAAAATTTGCCTCGGGCCGGCACTTATACCAGTAATATTAGAGAGGTTGCGACCAATGTTGCGACCAATTTATCTTCGCTGGTAACATTTGTTGTTAAACGTTTCTGTCATTTTTCAACAATATCCCATAAGTCAGTGTGTGACATGAACATATGGTGCAACATGTTTTACTTGGAGTTTAAATGTCAAACATGTACTTCTGCTTGCTGTACAAGTTTAATGTTTGTTCCTCTCGCCACAACCTCTCTATTGTGTTGGTTGTAACAAAATAAAACACTCTGTAGTCAAGCTAAATCTTTTATTTTAAATGTATACAGTATTTATTTTAATTGTGTATTTAGCATTTGGCCTGCTAAATATCTCTAGACAATATTGTTAGATATACTTTAATTATGATCACCTGTTATATAGATACAGTGGTGCCTCGTATAACGTACGCCTTGAATAACAGACGCTGCAAACAACGGACTTTCTGTTTGGCCGTTAAGTGTACCCTTACTAGTTACACTATCATAATCACTCTTCACTTTCAAACCAATTTAAAATTTGAAAGATATAATCAACCACTCACTATATTTTAAAGCCTGAAAAAAATCCAGCATTTAGATATTTCATTAATATAAAGTTTAAGCTTGGCTGTTTATATATTTATGAATTTAGTATTATTCTGATAATAGAAATAATGTCATCAAACCAAAGAAATTTTGTAATAAGTTAATAGCTGTTATTGAGAAAAATAATCTTTTATCAATATTATGGTTATTAAGAAAATACTATTTCACTCTTGGCAAAGCAAAGTTTCATTTAGAAATATAAGTGATATTATATTATCTTTTAATAGCTGTTCATATTAGTAAAAAAACTATTTTATATATCATAAGGATTTTTCCAACTTTGAAATTAAAAATAACTGAAATCTGCTTTTACCTAAAAATTGAAAGATTATCATCATGTTATTTTGTTTACTATATTATTTATACTTTATATATGTTATGGACAAAGTGATTAATATGGGCATTATGAATAATGCCCGGGCATTATAAATAATGACCAACAAAGTTGGGCATTGTAATAAATTTCAATAATTTATCAAATTGACCGGTCATTATGAACACTGCTATCATCTAGTCAGGCAAAGTGATAATAATACGTTGAGGAGTGATCATCCGAAATACGTTAGCCAATCTTACTTGCTCATGTGTATTGCATTTAGTACCGAATTTTAAATTTATGTGACTAGTAGTTAATCTTTCTTCTTTGACAAAAGTAATGATCATGGAGGAATCATTAAGTGTTATGAATAATCGCTTCAACAATCGATTAAACGAGTTAATAGCAGAAAAAGGTGACAACAATCAAATTTTTACAAAATCAGCATATTTGTCAATGATACAAAAAGTGAGAGTCAAAAATGAAAGTTACTTCTAAGTTATTGGAAAAATATCAGCGTTTACGTAGATATGACGTTGTATCTATTGGAAATTTAGAAAAATTAATTATGCCTGTAAAAGAAAGCAATGCGATTAAATATTATGTTCACACGGAAGAAATATTCAGATATTGCACGATGCCCATATTGCTATTAGACATGACGGTAAAACCACATGGAAAAATAATTAAGTACGAAATATAAAAATATTACAAGAGAGATGATCATAATTTATTTGAACTTGTGTGAAATCTGTCAGAAAAAAAGAATGTTCCTAAGAAAAATCTAAATCAGGATGTTATTAGTATTACAGAATTGGTGAATGAAGAAGAAACAATCTAAATAATTGATCCAAAAATAGAAGAAAAAATAAGAAGTGTGTCTAAAACAAGGGCTTTGTTTAATCTTAAAATGCAAGCGGAAAAAATGATTAATACATCAAATTCCAAATACACAGCAGCTAATGTTGGTGATACAGTAAGGATTCGTGTATCTGATGTAGATCGAGCCCGCAGTGATGGAAAAAATATTTTAGGTGTTGTTGTTGCGATTAAAGATAAAAACCTTTACAAACTGGTACCCAGTTTTTATCTTTAACCGCATATTATCTTTAACATGGCATATTAAATCTATTATATTCCAGAAACCAATTTGCTGTTTGTAAAGAAAACTTCATTTCTATTGGAGATGTACCGGGTGCAGAAATTTCGCTTAGAAAATGTGCAAGAATGTCATAGATTTCTGAAGGCCACAACTATAGTTGATGCTGCTGAAAAATTGGTTGAAAATCTAATAGATGCAAATGCTACCAAAGAAAAAAAATTATGTACAGTAATTCCAAATGTCATGAAAATCTTAATCGCTCAAATAAATAAACTAAAAAACATTTAATTTTTTATATAATTTATACCAAAAATTGTTAATAATACTTTTCGTTAATATTAGTTTAATTAATATAGTTAATAGTACTTTGATATAATTTACAAAAAATAAATATTTCTAAATGAAATAAGTGGAGTTTTTTTAATCAAATTTAAAATTCTGTACTAAACGCTGTACGATACGCACACGCAAGTCAGCGTGCCGATTGGCTAGCGTATGTCAGATGATCACTCCTCAACTTATTATTATCACTTTGCCTGACTAGGTGATAGCAGTATTCATAATGACCGGTCAATTTGATAAATGAATCAATATTTATTACACTGCCCACCTTATTTGGTCATTATTCATAATGCCCGATTAATCACTTTGTCCATAACATATACACTATTTAATCATAAGTTTTGATTTATTTTTTTATTAATGATAGGATACTAAACTATAGATATGGCAATCATGATATGCACTTAAATAAATAAATGGAAAAAGTATCAAACTAGAAATTTTAAAATATTTATATAATTTATTTTAGTGGCATTTTACGAAATGATACAATATGGGACAAATTGTTTTTTGACAAGTTAATAAGAGATCTTGGTGGAAATGCTGCAGTCATTTCTTCTACTTCTGCACCAATTTCTCCGGAAGTTATCAGATTTTTTCGACTAGCATCTGGCTGTCAAGTAAGTTTTTATTTCCAAAGATAATGTTTAGAAATACTAAAAATTTGGTTCTCTCTACTTTAAATATAATTGTATCATTTCAAATCATGTAATATCATTTCTAAAGGAAATGATAAGCTTGACAAATGATAGCTTAATAAATTTTATGATCCAAAACATTTAGTTCCTTTGACTTCTAAATTTCTTAACCTCTACTTTTGTTTTCATATATTATCATCTGTGTGCATAAATATCTTTTCTTTCACTTTTTTTTTCTGTTTTGAAAAAATAAGAACATGTCTGCAGATATTTTCAAATTTTTCTAGTCTAAAATGGACTTCCTTATAATTTGATATTTTCTCAAAAATTTGTTTCTTAAGTAATTTATTCCTTGTTCCAATGCCTTGTTTTCAAATATTTTTGATATTTCATCTGTTATAAGAAATAGATTGTTTATTTTAAAGGAAGTTATTGATAATTGTCAGTGGTGCACTCAAGGGGCCCTGGCACCCTCCAAAGAAAGAAAAGAAAAACTAGAAAATTTTAAAATCTTTTCCTAATTAGGATTTTTTTTATTATTTATATTGTGTCATCTATTCTATTTCTATACTACTTATGAATTGGCAGTCATTCAAGGTAGGAAATTTTACTGAATTCACATTAAAAATTTTTTATCTGTAGTTGGCACTCCCAATATTAAATCCTGAGTGTGCGACTGATAATTGTTATGCTTTCTTAGAGATATAATGAAATGATATTGTGGGATCTCTCAGTAAATTGTAGTTGGGTAAATAAACATTATATTATAAAATATTTGATACCAGTAAGTTTTTCTTGGAATAGATGATAAATGTGAATCATATGTTTGAGAGTTTCAATCCTTTTTCATCAAATTAGTTATGACCATTAGAGAAAGGAAAAGACAGGAGACTATCCTTTGAATTTCTCTTCTGAGATAAAGTTTATTTACACTGAAGAATTATCTGTATTTTTTTTACCTGTATCCTACTCAGTGTGTAACAGTTACAAGCATCAACTACATACTGAGAGAGTTTGTGTATGTGTGTGTGTGTTCTAAGATTATAAATTCCTGTGTTGTGGTGCTAAATGGTGTTATAAAAGACTTGATTTAATCAGTGAAGACTGAACCCATTTTTTTTAGTTTAGTTTTTTGAACTTAATTCTGTTAGTTGGTTCATGGGGAACCAGCAGGAATGGAGACAACTCTCTTATCTGGACACTTGGAAGAGAGACTTTTTTCTGGAAGTTTCACACAACTTTCTTCCTTATCTGTCTGTTTGACTCAAATACTGCTTTTCAAGCTCTTACTTTTATGTATACCACGATTACTAGAATATAAGGTTGGAGAAGTCTTCCAAAAACTGTCTAGAGACAAGCTCTGCCACCAGGCAATGTTATCAACAACTCAGACCTACTTTCATCCAGAGTATGTGGCAAAATGCGCAATATATTTAAACTGTACACACAGCATATACTGTATCATGAATATGTAGCTTATAGTGATGTATATGAATTAAATGTAATTTCATTGGATAATGAAACTGTGATTTATGCACAGTTATTTATGTTAAACTAACAGGTTTTAAACTAAATACAATTATATTATTTTTATTAACACAAAATATCAGATTCTTTTGTTTTTTGATTTAATCAGTTTTTTTTTTATTTTGTATTTTTATTTAATCACTTACTATATTTATTTTTGTTTTTATTTCTTTATTTTACTTGTATGGTAACATAATTATGTTGTAAGTTATTCTATATTATAAACCTTCATATTTTTAATTTTCTTTGATATTCAAATGTTGTTTCAGCTGACGATGACTTGTGAAATAAGTTGAAAACATTAATAAAAATTAGAAGTTCCTCTGAGATAAAAGTTTATTCTATTAGTTACATACAATTTAGATAGTTTCCTAGCATTTTTAATGGCCACTATGTCACTTATAGACTTATTAACTTCTCTTGTGAAAAAATGAATTCTTGTGGTTACATAAAACTGAATTATGTGTGTACATAATGATACTATTGTACATAATGATCTTTACATCCTAAAGTGATTAAGACTAAGTTGCTATCTGTTACAATATCATCAAATATTCAACAACAAATTTCTTATCTTCTTATATACTGAGAAATGTGTTTTTCATAAAACAGTAGTAAATGCAACAGCTGTTTGGATGTTGCATTGGCTTTTAGTTATGGTCAGCCCTGCAATTTTCTCTCTTGGTTCCTTCTGCTTCTGGGAAAAATAGTAGAAATTGCATCCTGTCTTAGTGTTAGTTGTGTGAGATACGCAGTGGGTCAGGGGTTAATCTGGTACTAACCACTTAATCTGCACAGGCTGGTAAAGCCCGATCTTGGAGTCGTAGGATGGCTAGGAGGGCAAATCGAGTGGGGAGTGCATCGGTAAGTCGACAGGTTTCCTCGGATAAACAGGAGACAGGTTTAACAAATAACAAAATAAATGTTTATTCTATAACTAAAGTAATTTACAGGAGTATACAAGTTACTGATTATAGCTTAGATGCAGATAACATAAATTTATCTATAAGGGAGCTGTAACTATTCACTATGCCGCGTGAGAGTTTACAAAGAGAGTTATATTGGCGGTCAGTATACCTTATGTCGGAGGACGGTATGCGACGATCCTTCTGGACTATGGAAGCTGGCTGTCTGTCACAGGCTTATGTCTTCTACCGGCTTCTCCTTGGACAGGATCGGGATGGGAGACACTGTATTCAGACCTTCCTGAGGATCTCGTAGAGGGATGGTCGCACTGAGGGGACGATTGCCCAGAACTTCCCGTGACGATCGTTTTTATACGATCGTCGTAGGCACTGAGCCAACAGGTCGTTCACTCGTTATGCTGACTAATTAGCACGTGCACGTTGACTAAGTGACAAACGGATGATGTGTAAGATTCCACATCCAATCTATTTCCGTTATATTTTTTTTTCATCCTCTAATGAAAAAATATGTTAACCCTAAAAATTTTCGAATTAAACCCCTCGGGCTCACAGTTGTAAACACTTCTTCTTATGTTTTCCTCCTTAATAATTACATTGTTTGTCCTTATAATGTAACAACTATCAAAATACAACTCACAAACAAAGGAGTTGGTGATTTCAAAGTTTCTTGGTATATTCATTCTTCATGCATTTTGTTTTAATGGATCTCTTAGAAACGAAAATATGACACGTTTTTCTTTACAAGAGCCAAAGTCACTTTTACATCAGGGAACACAGCACTTAGAAGGCATTATTACATCAAAACCAAACAATTTCTATATTAACAAACCCTGCTATAGTAGTAAGCAATGTGGCCTGACTTGCTGGTAGTGCTGCGCTGGTGGCAAACTTTGTCTCTAGATGCTTTTTCCACAGACTTCTTATGGGAGTTCTTCAACCTTATATTATAGTAATTGTGTGTTTACATTTAATAAAATTTGCTATTAATAAAATAATGTAATAGATAAAATAACTTTTAATACAAACTACTAGACAATTACTGGTACATGTAAACACCACTGTTTACATGTACCAGTAATATAACTAAACTTATATTGAAATATTTATATGCAACAGTGGCGTGCAGTGACATTTGATGAGAGGGAAGCTGTGTTGGCTCTGAATAGAATCATTGGAGTGTTATATGAAATTTTGGTGTGTAGCATCCACAAGCTAAATTGCATGAGATTGGTGCTCTGTAAAGCGCATGTGCCAATGTGTATAATCTGGCTGCTTTACACGATTCAAATATTTTTGCCATGGAAGCTATCCCGTATTCTACAATACTGAGCTTTCATTGGAAATATGCATATATGGATTTATATTCAAATATGCAATAGCAATCTTATCATTGTTTTTCACATGTATAGAAATTTGTAATAAGATACTTAATGCGGTTATGATAAAATAATAATTTTAATTAATTCAAAATACGTTAAAATATGAAATTAATCGCACAATATGCATTTATATTTTAGAAAATAAAAGGGAAGCGGTACTTCCACAGATTTCATGGACAGCACGCCACTGATATCCAATTATATTTATAGGCTATTTATTATAATCGCATTAAGTAATTCAAAGTATGTTAAAATATGAAAATAATCGCACAATATGTATTTATATTTTAGAAAATACAAAGGAAGTGGTGCTTCCACAGTTTCCATGGACAGCACGCCACTGATAAAAACTAAAGTCACTAGTGGTAATACTGGCTTAATAATCAAATAAACCACTTCATAAACACCAAGATCCAGAAAAAACAACAGATTTTACTGCAAACAAATGTTTTCTTCTGTATACAATGGACATTGTTCTACATAAAGAATATAGATTGGAACAACAAATTAAAAATTATAACAGAAACAAAATCAAGGTTCAAGCTAATTTCAAAAATGTTCTGTTCTAATTTTTAATTTGTTGTTCCATTCTGTATTCTTTATGTTAGCCTGATGACGTCTGTTTATAAGAAAGAAAACATTGGTTTGCAGTAAAATCTGTTCAGCTTTTTAACTCATTTGTCAGCTCAAATGGTCTGATAAGGTTGGTAGGTATGGAAAATTGTATTTAAATAGGCCTATAAGATAAAATCAATACTAAAAATAAATATATATATACATTTGCACTTACATAAAATCCAGTATGTTATAATAAAAATAAAAAAAATAATAATACCTTTATGTCCTTCTTTACTTTATAATTTCCAACAATCATCATCATCATCATCACTGTTATATGCAACCAATGAAGAAAATGTACATTAAAGAAGAGGTCATAATATTAACCTATAATGCTGTTTTTAGTTATTTTCATTTTAATCAGCATAAACACAGTAGTAAAATCATATAAATCTACATAAAATTCAAATTAAAAAAGTTATTTGATGAAATTATTATCAATATTTTTATCATAAAAAATTTGCCAATTATATTACTATAGTGAATCGGTTTTTTTGTAAGTTTTAACAAAAAATATTTTTATTGTTAAAGAATTTGCTGAAGTTCTTCTATAAAAGTAATTTTGTTCTTATTTGTTTATATCAATAATATTATCAATATTTCTATTTAAATTTTATTGCCAATATACTAAAGAGAAGATTTTTTTAAAATTTTGTTTTTTTAGTTTAAAAACTTTTCCAAATGCATATTGGTTTTGCTGAACAAAGCATTTCAACTCTTTTTTTTAAAAAAGAAAATTTTATATTCCTTTTTAGCAGAGTAAGTTGTACATAATAGAAATAATTTGTTTTATATTCTAAAATAATTAGTATCCAGAGGTGTCCTTACATTGGGGCATGTGCCCCCCTTTGTCATCAAGTTGCCCTTTTCTTAATTCCTAAGGGAGCTCTAAGGTTTCATTTTATATTTAAATTAGTTATTCATTTTTATCACAAAAACTATTTTACTGATGACAAAATAAAAATAAAATTAATTGTTATTAACTGAAAATTTGATCTAGTAGGTTGTGACTGTTCAGTCAAATACTCAGATATCACTATTTGATTAATGTGATTTTGATATATATGGTAGCATTGAAGGATTAATTAACTGTGTTAATCAAGGGTTACCTGTATATACACCAGTATACATATATATTGTATACTCTATAAAATGTACTTATGGTGTCATTTTTTATAGTCTGCAGTGCTGCTGCTAGTACCAATGTAAAATTTAAATGAATATACAATTTAATCATTACTGCTGTATAATATTACTGTATCCTCAGTTTTAAGATTTACTTATCTGAAATAGAGATAATATTACAATCAATAGTATCTTACATTTGTTGTATAAAACAACAATCAGCAGTCATCGTAAATAGATTGTTATGTTTTATGCATCAATAATAGACTTCAGCTAAACTGCTCAATGTTCACATAAGTTCAAATATGCTATTTTAGTAAANCTATTATACAGCTTATTTATTTATTTATTTTTTTTTATTGATTAGGCAAAGCTAGTTCTATTTCGCTTTTCAGTACAGGTAGCCCTCGGTTTACGCTGGCTCAATTTATGCCGATTCACAATAACACAGATGTGCAATTTGCTGTTTTGCTGTGTAATTCCCTGATTTTCCCTATGCTAGACTGATTTTCATTTCAGTGTTGATGTATTTACCGAGCCGTGACCCTAGATTCGTTAAAACAAAGATTTTTATGAATATACTTATTTTTTCTGTTTAACATTATTGGGTATGTATACCCATGCATTCAATTAATATTAAAATACTAACGTTTAGGTACCCACGAGTCAAGTTATTAAACTTAATAGAACAATAAATGGTGTCCAAATCCATAGCATCGATGAATGTATTCCATATCAGTTTGTTCAGGAAAACACCTTACGATGCAGTTGCACTTCCAGCAATGACAAACTATCGTTAGTGAGACAAATCTACTTCTTGTTGGCCAGATGATATGTTTTTATTAGCCAGACGATATCTATCTCTCCTTAGCTACCATAAATTTTCTTGCTCAAACTGACCTTATATATGCGCTACGGCGACTGGTGGTTGACCAATCAGTGTCTCCTCTTGTCTGTAGCTCTATGTTGGGTTAACGTATCATTTCAACTATGGAAAGTTTGATGGATGAACTTTGTGAGTTAGACAATGATTGGGAGCGAAGTACAAATGTAAAAAGGAACATCATCGCATCCATTCGACCATATTCTGAAATTCTCAATGAAAGAAAACAATTGAAATGTAAACAATTAAAGATGGATACTTTTTCCGAAAAAATGACTAAAACTAATCCGAAAATAAAATTTTTTAATAAAAACATTTCACTTTATTTTATGATAAAATACATTTTAAAAATTAAATTTATATGCATTTTGTATTATATTGTATTAATAAACAAAATTATTTGCTTATTTTTCACTTATGTAGAACCTAACCCTATACCTCACTGTAAATTGTTTTACATCAATTCGATTTGTGCCAGCTTTTTTAGGAACAGAACTGCAGTATAAACCGAGGGCTACCTGTACTAGTGTTTTAAATTTTATGTGGATAACCCTTGGGTTATTAATCAAATAGATTTTCGTTTGTCTAAAGTCACTAGGAGGATCTTTAGAAAATATGAAAAATTTTCATTCACTACAGACATTCTTCTGACATCATGATTTTTCCTGAAGCTACCAAAGATACTTATACACATAGCTTGCCTTTAGGTCTTTAATATTCATTTTCTGTGCATCACTTTTCCCTTTATTAGAGATGCGTAAGATAATATTTTAATAAATGAATGTTTGACATTTAAAAACTACTGCTTTTCAAATTTGTCTAATCAAAATGAAAAATTTTTTACAGCATTTTTTCTTCTACCAATCAAAAATATTAAACAATATTTGGACACTATATTAAAGCTGCTTTTTTCATTTTAATTTATTAAGGACTAATAGTTGCTGCTATGAAAGTCTCAACAAACAACATTATTAAACATCCAATAAAACAAAAAACTAACACTTTGGATTTGATTAAATAATAAAAGCTGTTAAGTAGGTTAAAACTATACTATAATAAGTCATTGAAATTTTCAAAAAATCATTTTTGGTATACATAATGAGAAGAGACATTTATTTTCAAAATTTCTGTGATTGCCATTGTCTCAGATATGTCTGTTCTCATTTTTCTCACTGTAGAAATTGGCAAACTATGATGGGCATAGAAAAATGGCCTTCTTAGTTTCCACATGGCAGAAAGAGTTAACAAAACAATCATAAAAACTGCAGGCCATATGAGATTCCATAATTTGAAAATTCTAACTTTTAGATTTAAAATTTAGATTTGTAAAACTTATTTAATTCAGTTGGCTTATGTACTGTAAAATATGGTAATCTTCTGAGAATTTTCTTTAAGAATAATAAAATGTAGTCAAAATAAAAATTAATTAATTTAATTCTATTTATGTTTTTGTAATTTATATTTGATAAATTTAATATTCAATCATATTTAATTATTGAAATATATTTTAGACATTTATATTTTTTATAATTAATCATTTTAGTATAGTATCTATAATAAATTTATGGTAAATACATTTAAAACATTTAAGAACTTTTGTATCATTTTAGGATCTGTTGGTCCCCCTTTACCTAATTGTCATATAAAATTAATTGATGTTCCAGAAATGGGTTATTTAGCACAAAATGATGCAGGAGAGGTAAATTTCATATTTCTAATAATTTTATAAATATAATATATTCTATATTTTGTATTTATTATTTTTAAATTAATTGTTTTGTAATGTGGTGTTTGAGCAAAAAAGTACAAATAAATACTAATTAGATATTTTGACACAAAGTTATTTATTATTGCTTCAAACAGGTTCGTTTTTCTTTTTGGATCCCAACACTACAAATAGTTTCTGTACACATAGGCGTTACAATCTGATCAAACAAACAACAAGTTAATTGAGCTCCGCAATTATACACAGGCCAAAACTTATAACTAATCCTTATACTACTTACAACTAAGGAAGGAAGAAGAGAATAGACAGATAAAAATAGTTTAAGAGGAAGATGGAAATACCTGGGATTTTCTTGTTCGTAATCTTGGGTGGGACATTGCTTTGGCGCTTTACTTGGAACGTTATTTCTAGTCCTTCCTGTAGACCTTTTTATATTTTGGAAGAGGAAAAATTTTTCTGGGCGATATAGTAAAACATTATATTAAGAATAATTAGATATTTTATTCGTTATATCGTACAATAATCAAACAAATAACATTATACTAGTGACTAGTCTATTCAATGCAGTATGAATTTGGCGTTAGCCTTGGCCCTCGGAATCGGAATTTTGGAGTGAAGGGGGCGACGATTCGTTANTGACACGCTACCAGATATTGATCTCAAATCTCTATCAGATAATAGACTTTCACATTGGCAACGTGTAACAAAAATGACGCAAATCATTTGGAAACGGTGGACTAATACATATTTAAATAATTTACAACAACGGAATAAGTGGATGATTGAAAGAGAAAATATTAAAATAGGGACATTAGTCATTATCAAGGAAGATAATATACCTATCTTTAAGTGGTTAGTGGGAAGAATTACAGAAGTTTTCCCAGGGTCTGATGGTAAAGTAAGAGTTGTAAGTGTAAAAACAAAAAATGGTGTATTTAAACGCAGTGTATCGAAAATTTGTGTTTTACCTTTGGAGAACTGAAGTTGTGTTTTGTAAAAATAAAAAATTGTTGTTTTGTAAGTATGTAACTTGTTGAACCTTGGAAGGTTCAAGGCGGGAGGATGTTAAGTTCAGTGTAACATGTGTGAGACATGTGTCAGGTGTGTGGATGTCAGCAGGTGGTGATGGACAGTCCACAGCTTGGTCACATGTGTCAGGTGGGGGAGATTGCCCTGTCTAGTTAGGGGTGGGTAGAGTGAGAGTGTGTGTACTGACCAGGGAGCTAACAAAGTGAGTAGCTGTGTGGCTGGTCCAGTATTGTAACTATCAAAAAATGGTGGAGTGCCAGAGAGTCACTCGCTGATTTGGAGAAATTAAAGTGTTTTTGAGGCGGGTTAATAACTTGCAATTTCAACCATCACATTAAATTATTAAACATAATTTAAAATAAAATTATACTAAAAAAACTAATTTTGTTGTTTTTTTTAATTACCTTATTAAAAATGCCTTTTTCAATTGTATCAGGGTTGCGGGACACTTGGCTTTTATTAAAAGGGGTCGCCACCTGAAAAAGGTTGGGAACCATTGTTCTAATGATTTCAAAATTTACATTTTAAACTGAAATTCTGTAAAACAAAAAAACTTGTAAATGCTTACTTTTATGTTTTTAAAAATTTAATATGTACTGTATATTTTATTATTGATTTAATTAAAAATTACTCAGTTTTCATTAAGACTAGGAAAATATATGGAAAAATTAAACATAAAGTTAAAAAAATACTACCGAAGTTCATTTTGCAAATGTTTTTTTTATTTGGTGTTATTTTTGAAAAAAGTAATATAATCTAAATCAGATTTTATATATTTTTTCTTAAATTAGTTAAATTATTAAACATTTTTCTTAGATTTGTATTCGAGGACCTGGTGTTTTCAAAGGTTATTTTAAAAATCCTACTGCAACAAAAGAAGCATTGGATGAAAATGGTTGGTTGCATACAGGAGATATTGGTCGTTGGTTGCCTGTGAGTAATTTTTTAATTTATTTTAAGTAGTTTACATTTTAACAATACAGAATATTTTATCACTTTGTGAAAGTTAAGGATGTACGAGACAATTATTCCAACAAATATTAAGTAAACAATAGTTTATTACAACCAGAATTAACAGGTAATACAGTGATGCCCGTCAGAGACACATACACAGATAGATATATATAACAAGTCTCTGTTCTCGTTCGGATTCTTACAATGAGTTGTTCTCACGATACGGATTCTAATTACTAACTTATAACTAACTTATAACTAACTAAATCTAACACTACACTAAGGAGAGGAAAATGAAGGAAGGAAAAGTATACTGGTATTTAGCACAGGAGGTCCTGATTGTGGTTTCTGATGATTGTGGGGATTTTGTCGATCGACTTTGGAATATCCAACATTCCTGGTATGATAATTGTCACTTGGGTTTTGTAGACCACTATTTCTTATTGGACAAGTCACTAGTCCTTTTCTTTTCTTTTAGGACTACTCGATACTCAGCACGTTCGGCTTGTTCTTTGTCCTTGAGGTCCAACTTAATGTCCCGACGATACTTTCGCAACCTCTTCTCTTCGTCGCCCGGGCAAAAAGTGTCTTTCTCACCCCTTTGTTCTCCTTCTGTACCCCACGGGCAGGGCCCCTCCCTGTTCACGTCGATAAGCCACCAATCAGGACCCACGAACTTCCCGCTCCTGTCGGGTGACCGGAAATGGTCATTAGTAGAAAGAAGAAGAAGGAAAAGAAAGAACAAAGAATTCTAAATCTAAATACTATAACTATGTATATACAAAAATGGCGGACAGCCACAACTTCAAAGTTGTTCAAAAAGCTGTTATATTTATTTATAGAACAAACAAACACTTCTAAGACTGATATTTATGTTAAAACCAAATCTTTAGTAAGTGAAATCTTTATAAAAAAAAATGGAACAGTTTGAATAAATGTAATATCAGTTATGTAAAAGAAAAACTAATAAAATATTTCCAATTTTTTAAAAATTTATACGAATAATAATGTATAAAAATGATAAGAATAAAAAAAAATCATTATAGCTAAGTATTTTGTTGTCAAGGCTATCAAGAGCTTGTATGGGATTGGGGTAGAGCATGCCCCTTTGCCCTTTAGTGGTCTCTGTTTGCCCCCTTGTTTTGAACAAGTGAAATATGTAGAATGTTTTACCTAACATAGAAACAGTCTTAAAGGTTTTCATATTTGTTATTAAAAATAATATTAATTTGTAGGGGGTAGGAATCACTACCACTAAAAATTAGCATTATTTTTAATAACAGATTCCAAAGTTTTCTTCAGCCCCAGGGAAAAATTCCCAGCTTACCTTACTCATAATTGTCCTGTTTGCTGTTATTAAGTTTTGATATTATATTTTTTATTTTGTAAAATTCAGTTATTAGTATGAAAAGTTAGATTTTATATATAGTTTTTATGCTTTCTTATATAGAATTAATTTAAATCTGTTAGATTTTTATCAAAAACATATAAAAAAATATTAATAAAATGTTAATTCATGTTAATATTAATAAAATAGGCCCACCAGTGGCTGAGCGGTTCTGTCGCTAAACACTGGGAGTTCGGTTGTGGGTTCACACCTCGCTCGGACGGGCTGGCCACGTGGAGTTTTCTGGGTTTTCTCCACATCTGTAATGCCTGAATAGGGGTCAGTTTCCTTTAAAAAGACCTCCCGGAAGACTTATTTTCATCATTAGAGCTGGTAACTGGGGGTGCCACTCTGAAAAAAAGAAACTTCCCCAAGATTTCTTCTCCATGGTATTTCCTGGAGATTGGAAAGCAACGTCAAATGCCAGAAACCAAATATATATACATATATTAATAAAATAAGAAAGTATAATTGGATATTATTAATATCATTTAATTATACAGTATGTAAGTCAATTTTATCTAAAAGGTAAAAATAATTGTATTATAAAATCAAGTTTTATAACTAATCATAAAAGAAAATTTTATTATAATTGTTAATCTAGCACAAGGATTTTCAAATACTTACATAATCATTTTTTCATAAATATTTATGTGTATATTTTAATTTTAAATTAATATTAAAAATAGTAGTTAGTAATATTACAAAATTTTAATTTTTTATGAATTTTTACTTTTATTTTACTCTTAAAAATATTTAACTTTAAAGTTTTGTTTTTGCTTAATAAATTACTAAGTATAATATTTCAGAATGGATCATTAGCAATTATAGACAGAAAGAAGCATTTGTTGAAATTATCTCAAGTAAGTAATACATCTCATGTAATAAATGAACTTTTACTGTAAAATAATTATATCTTATGAGATTACATATTTTTCAATAAAATTCAACTAAATTACAAAATTATTTAATTTAGATAATTATATTAAATTTATATTTTTTATGTTTATAGAAGAAAATCTTAATTTTCTTAAGATTTTATATATAAGTGTTTTTAAGGGAATTTTTGTATTGAAAAATGTTTAAATATTTTGGAATAATTTTGAGGTTTTTTGAATATTGATTTTCAAAAATTTTATGATTTTTCGTTTACTCATTAACTGAAACATTGCCTATTAGGATTGGATGTTGGTAACTCAATTCTGTGTAAAAAGAAAATAATAATTTCTAAATTGTCAGAAGTTTAAAAGGGAGACTTTGAATGGAGAATGGAAGATTTGTTTGATTTAAGGATATGCTTTTGAAATGTTTTGAGAATGTGAGAAGTCGGGAGTTAGAGAGTTCTAAAAGCCCTCAGGTTGGTAAAACCCACTCACGTTGTCACTGGATAGCCTAATCTATATAATGTCATCGGGATTACAAGATCCTTTCGACGTCAGAACCTGACACCAGTTAGGATTGAATGTAATTGGAGTCCACATCAAGTTAACTAAACTAATAAATTTAATAGACAAAATAAAGCATAAGATACAATATACAAGCTACAATTATAGTTGTATGCATTCACAAGCATATGTATATGAGCCGATATCAATGGGGTAAACATCCTAGGCTATATATGAATGCTAACTTTGTTTCTATGTCAATTGAGAGAGAGTTTACATCAATCAGAAAATTATTGTACCTCTGCCATAGTGGCCATTGTTCTCGGAGCTAAAATATCTGTGGAGGCGGTTGAGACAACACTTGCACAAATCAGTAACAAATAAAGGTAATCATTTGGGATTATGACTATGGCAGGACAATTCTGTGTTGTCGTCTTCTGAATATGTCTGCCTATCGTATGGCAGGATGAGCTGAGACTATCTATGGCTTCTGGGGATGTCCACATGCAAATGGGTGCCTGGCCGTTATATCCCTCTTTGGTGTGGGAATTTGGTCTTCTGACCTTTTGCTTGTAGTGATGACATCTCAAATGTGTCATTGCCGGGCCAGTTAAGTCAGTGGGAATCTGACTTGTTATCAGACTCACATTGTGGAATTGTTTAACTTTTGAAACTTTCTCAGATCGATGAGAGAGGGAAGGGACTTGTTGCATCAAAGATCCCTACAAACACGTGTTCTTTAGTTGATTGTTGATGGTTAAATAGACATCCAATTTTCTATCATTTTTAACTTCGTGGGAACTGGATAGAATGAAGGAAAATTTCTTCTAACACAAATTTTTGTTAGAAATTATAGAAAAACACAGCTCCCAGATTCTCACAAGAACATTGTTCAAATGGAGAATGGATATATTTGATTCAAAGTATCCCCTTAGTTTAGGGAACAGTAAGTGCCAAAAGTAGAATGGGATTTAGAATAGTTTTCCAAGGTAGTATCCCATTAATAGACAGTATAGTAGGAATAGAAGTAAAATCTCCGTTCATTGTTACTAAGATCTATCCTGGTATCCTCCCTCAGAAGTTAAAGGAATACTTTTTAATGAATCAAAATGGTTATATATCTTTCAAACATCACAAAGCTGGATATGTATAGAAACATAACCAAACAATCACCTTAAATAATCGGACTATAACTCCACTAATTTAATGATTAATACTACGTAATTTGCTACTAAAGTTGGACGTTAGGCACCCATAAACTCTTAACTAAATTAATAATTATAATTTTAATAGTTATTAAAATTATAATTATTAATTTAGTTAAGAGTTTATGTCGAGTTATATGTCATGTTAATTGTGGAAACATGTATTTACCTTATCTTCAGTGTGTTAAATGTTGAATAAACATTATTGTATTCAGTTGTGGCTTATCTCATTTGAAGATACTGGCCAACTCAATGACATCGTCTTGGGGTTGGAATATTTTTACTTTGCACATCATTGATTGACATTGTGAAATACCTTAAAATATACTTAAACTAAATAAGAAGATAAATCTAAGCAATTAATTATGATTTTATTTAAAATCAACTGTAAACTTCCTTTCAGATAACATTGTATTTTAAACTTTAGTAAAAACCTATCTAAATGATTATTCCCTTAAGTAACCACCCATTTAGATGATCAGATTTATTTAGAATTTTTGTCCTATAGGATTCATTATTTTTAATCTGCTTTAAGCTAATTATTCCTTTACCTAATCAATGAGCAATGACCACTAGGACTCAATTTCTATGTTAAATATCCTCTTTGAGACAACCAGTTTTATCATTCCATCTGCGATAATAAAATCAAAACCATGGGCATGTACTGTACAATGCAAGTTGGGCATGTTGCACTGTTGTATTAGGTGTAAAAATTTGTTTCAGTCTTTTTTCCTACTTTATTTTGTCCTATTTGGTTCTATTATGGAGAATATACTGTACAATTGTACATAATTTGCTGTTAATATCATCAACAATAAGTTATTTTATGCTTTATTTTTCTGCTCTTTACTTAATAAGGTAGATAAAATGGTAATTGCTGACTATAATTATGGCTAGGATTGGGAAGTTTTTGGAATTTATTTGAACTGAAAGAGAATCTGTTTAAATAAATAGGCTAAGCTTAAACAAGGTCTACCATCAGAGACAATGGTAATTGTGTTAAAATCTAGCAAACACATTTTTATGGAGAGGTAGTCATGTAATAATACTAACAACTGGGGGTTTGAGGAAGGTGGAAGCAAAATAGAATTCCCCAACTGACACCCAGTCTCACTTCAGATTGGTTGAAAAATGAAATGTCTGTATCTAATAAAAGAGAAGATACAGAACTGAAGAGAAATTCTTGTTTGTGTTTTGTATTTATGATGAATTATATAGGACCATCAAATCTATAGGATTACAAGGCAGTAGCGTGCCGTCCATGGAAGCTGTGGAAGTGCTGCTTCCCTTGTATTTTCTAAAATATAAATTCATATTGTGCAATTATTTTCATATTTTAACATACTTTGAATTAATTAAAATTAATATTTTATTATAACCCCATTAGTATCTTATTACAAATTTCTATACTATATGTAAAAAACAATGATAAGATTGCTATTGTATATTTCTAATATAAATTCATAAATTCGTATATGGATATTCCCAATGGAAGCTCTGTATTGTAGAATACGTGACAGCTTCCATGGCGAAAATATTTGAATCGTGTAAAGCAGCCAGATTATACGCATTGGCACATGCACTTTACGGAGCACCAACACCAAGCAGTTTAGCTCGTGGATGCTACATACAACACACCAAAATATCATATAATGCTTCCAATGATTCTATCCAGGGTTGGCACAGCTTCCCTATCATCAAATGTGTAAGATTTGCCGACGTTGAGGGGGAAAAAGTCTATCTCACGTCAGAATGAGCCTAAGGGAAACAGCGTATGTGGGCGGTGGCGAAGGAGGCAAATGATGCACAAGTGTTTTACAAGATAAAACCCGTTTATTTGTTCGAATTCATGCTTACATCGATATAGGATAATTCCAAAATCTCCTGGGAACGGCGAAAGTTCGTGATCTCGGTTGCAGTTCGGGCGGACGAGAAGGATATCCGGACGAAGCAGAAGTTCGTCGTTTCGTTGCGGTGTCCTCGGTGAGCGGCGGATGCACAACACAAATTTAATCACCACTGTAGGGTTAATCCGGAGGAGACTCTTCTTCGACCTTGAAGTTCCGATTTTTATAGTTTTTCCCCCACGGTTCGCATTTCGGATTGGTCCCTCGTCCCATTCCTCGCTTCCCGATTGGTCTCTCCTTTGTCTCCAGGTGCAAGACGAAACTTTTTCGGGTCGCGGGAAAGGTCCGATTCGAGGTGTCCATCTGATACCTCTTTGTCGACTCTGTTCGAGGACTGTTTATAAAATAATAACACCTGCACTCATAACTCAGGCCGTTATTTACCATTTTTGACGTCTAAGAATTTAACGATCATTTTCACCTTTCACCTATCAAAAATTCCTCTATTTTTTGTTCGAAAAGGTTTATTTCGGCCAACATTTTATAGACACGCGAGTCAAAGATCTACCTGTTTATGAGCGCTCGGGTTAGAGTTTGTCTTCCGCTAAGACATTAACAGATAGTTGACACATACTCGAACCGTTCCGAGTCTCGTTGTTTACATCTCGTGTCGCGCAAGAATTTCACGGTTTACTCGAGTTCGAACCTCGTCTGGGAACCCACAAATGTCACTGCACGCCACTGTTACAAGGTGTGATTTTCTTGGTTGGACCTGGATCCCTGCTGATATCAGCAATGGGAATGGCACTAATAAACTTACTATGACTGTGTGTGTGAAAACCGAAAGGCCCTGGGTCAAAATCGGCAGTTTTATTAATAACGTTAATATTTTGTTATAAAATATTATTTCGTTTGGGTGTGAAAAAGGACGTTTTAGAGTGGGAAAAATAGATAACAGATGTTACTTCCTTTCACAGAAGTTAGTACATCCTCTGTTTTTCCCTTATCTGCGAAAACTCTCGTTTTGATGGGAAATGTTTACCCCTCACATATCCCCCTTTTCATCCGTTCTCACGGAGGAATCTTTGCATGATGATTGGTCGCCGATCAGGACATATAGAGGAAATTTGTCAGAATTCGGGGAGTTCATCGACAGATCTGGAAGTGTCCAAACTCCCCACATTTTCCTCCTGATGACCAACGCCCTTAGACGAGTCACATAGAATAAGTCCAGAGTCTGCACTTAGAAATTATACTTTGATTTTGTGCATATATCGATCTCCCATGATAAGAAGTAAATGAACTTTATCTCCAAAGTGTCCTCTGCCTACAGAGAAGGAGACGATCGACAACTAAAACAGGTTGTATGTTTCTAACGATTTTGTGAGCTCTCTCTCGATCGCGCATCGGGTATAATATGTCTATATATCGTGTATTTTAATTGTCGTATTTATATCTCTCGTTCATTGATATTTTGTATTAGTTTTACTTTTATTGAATCATTAAATTTACTCTTGTTTGTTTTATATAAGATATGTCTTTTAAATTGTCTCTGAATCAGATCTCATAGGCGTGTTTGTCCACTGATTGATAAATTGACAAACTGGTGTCGGGACCCTGACATTTGGGATAAAGACCTCACAGTCTTGAATCCCCCTTTTACCTAAATATTACAGCCCTCCCGGTCAAACGAATCTTGACATAGGATCAGATCTCTCGATCCGAAACTCAGAGAACAGATTTCAGATAATCTGTGCCGATTAAGTGGTACGAACAATCACTAGCGGATTAGAGTACCCCCGGCTACTCTCACATGTGCATTATATTTTCATATACAGACGTATTCAGTACACAGAATTACATGTGAAACATTAATGAATAAATTTTATTGTAGTATAATTAATCAAAATACAGCAAAAACTATTTAAAAAATGCTATATTGTTTACAATCACTTGTGTAGTTTTTCAGTAGAATACAACATATTTTATTATACTGTATAATACTATGTATTACTATTGAATATAGTAGTAAATTACAGCACTCTGTCGCCATTATATTTTTGTCACCCCATTTCATGAGATTACTCCTTGAAATGGTCAGTGTTCTTAAGTTTTAGGGATGGTCATCTTAAAACAGTTCACTGTAACTAGTTAAAAATATGCTTTATACTTGATTACTGAAAGAATTATAATTTGAAACTCTCATCATCTGACTATACTCATATGGCTTTAAAACAAAAAACAATTTTAACACTGATTATAGTGAAAAAATAATTTTCAGAAATCTTGTCAGTAACTAAGTTTATCAAAAAATATCATTTTAAATATAAATTTTTATTAGGGAGAATATGTTGTACCCGAGAAAGTGGAAAATATCTACAGCCAATATGATGTCATTCTACAAATTTTTGTTGATGGATTTTCTGATCAAGTTAGTATTTTTTCATATTTGTTAAACTTAATTTTTTAAATATCGAAATAATTAATTTGATATAATTAATAAAAAATTTTAAAGATTATGTAGAAGTTTTTAAATCATTTGTTCAATTACTTCATGTAAAAGAAATTTTGTTAATTACAGGATTATTTGGTGTCTGTTATTGTCCCAGAAAAGGCAACATTTATCAAGTGGGCCAAAAGAAAGAATTTTGATACATCAGATTATGATAAATTATGCAGCAACAAAGTTTGTATTATCTTAAATCATTGAATTTTAGCAATGTAAAAATATTTACATAAACATTTGTGTTATAACAGAATGTGCGTGCTACTTTATTGAAGAAATTACACAAAATTGGAAAGGCCAATGGGCTAAATTCATTAGAACAGGTTAATTATTATTATTATTCCTTCTGTACCCCACGG